AATTTGGCTATTTTGAAGATCTGAAGGTCTTCCCACAGAAAAAGAAGACCCGAAGGTATTCTCATAGAAGACCAGAATTTCTTCTCGTATGAGACCCGAAGGTCGTCTAGTAGAAGAAGACCAAAAGGTCTTCTTACAGAAGACCCGAAGGTCTTCTCAGAGAAGACCAGAAGGTCTTCTCATAGAAGACCAAAAATTCTTCTCCTAGAAGACCAGAAGGTTTTCTCACAGAAGACCAAGAGGTCTTCTGACAGAAAACCAGAAGGTCTTCTCACAGAAGACCAGAGTTTCTGCTCTTAGAAGATCAGAAGGTATTCTCATAGCAGACCAGAAGGTCTCCTCATAGCAGACCAGAAGGTCTTCTCATAGCAAACCAGAAGGTCTTCTCATAGAAGACCAGAAGGTCTTCTCATAGAAGACCAGAAGGTCTCCTCTTTGAAGACCAGAAGGTCTCCTCTTTGAAGACCAGAAGGTCTCCTCATAGCAGACCAGAAGGTCTTCTCATAGCAGACCAGAAGGTCTTTTCATAGAAGACTAGAAGGTCTTTTCATAGAAGACCAGAAGGTCTTCTCATAGCAGACCAGAAGGTCTTCTTATAGAAGACCAGAAGGTCTTCTCAAAGAAGACCAGAAAGTCTTCTCATAGAAGACCAGAAGGTCTTCTTATAGAAGACCAGAAAGTCTTCTTAAAGAAGACCAGAAGGTCTTCTTATAGAAGACCAGAAGGTCTTCTTAAAGAAGACCAGAAGGTCTTCTTATGGAAGACCAGAAGGTCTTCTCATAGAAGACCAGAAGGTCTTCTCATAGAAGACCAGAAGGTCTTCTCATAGAAGACCAGAAGGTGTTCTTATAGAAGACCAGAAGGTGTTCTTATAGAAGACCAGAAGGTCCTCTTATAGAAGTCCAGAAGGTCTTCTCATGGAAGACCAGAAGTTCTTCTCATGGAAGACCAGAAGTTCTTCTCATGGAAAACCAGAAGGTCTTCTCATGGAAGACCAGAAGGTCTTCTCACAGAAGACCATGAAGTTTTCTCATAGAAGACCAAGATGTCTTCTCATAAAAGACAAGAAGGTCTTCTTAAAGAGGACCAGAATGTCTTTTTATAGAAGACCAGAAGGTCTTCTTATAGAAGACCAGAAGATCTTCTTATAGAAGACCAGTAGGTCTTCTTATAGAAGACCCGGAGGTCTTCTTATAGAAGACCAGAAGGTCTTCTTATCGAAGACCCGAAGGTCTTTTCATAGAAGACCCGAAGGTCTTCTCATAGAAGACCCGAAGGTCTTTTCATAGAAGACCAGAAGGTCTTCTCGTACGAGACTAGAAGGTCTTCTCATAGGAGACTGGAAAGTCTTCTCATAGAAGACTGGAAAGTCTTCCCATAGAAGACCAAAAGGTCTTCTCGTAGAAGAGCAGGAGATCTTCTCGTAGAAGAGCAGGAGATCTTCTGGTAGACGACCGGAAGGTCTTCTTATAAAACACCGTAAGGTCTTCTTATAGAAGACCCGAAGGTCTTCTTATCGAAGACCGGAAGTTCCTCCTATCGAATACTGGAAGTTCCTCTTATCGAAGACCGGAAGGTCTTCTTTCCATAGAAGACGAGAGGGTCTTCTTTCCATAAAAGACCAGAGGGTCTTCTTTCCATAGAAGACCAGAGGGTCTTCTTTCCATAGAAGACGAGAGGGTCTTCTTTCCATAGAAGACGAGAGGGTCTTCTTTCCATAGAAGACGAGAGGGTCTTCTTTCCATAGAAGACGAGGGGTCTTCTTTCCATAGAAGACGAGAGGGTCTTCTTTCCATAGAAGACGAGAGGGTCTTCTTTCCATAGAAGACGAGAGGGTCTTCTTTCCATAGAAGACGAGAGGGTCTTCTTTCCATAGAAGACGAGAGGGTCTTCTTTCCATAGAAGACGAGAGGGTCTTCTTTCCATAGAAGACGATAGGGTCTTCTTTCCATAGAAGACGAGGGGGTCTTCTTTCCATAGAAGACGAGGGGTCTTCTTTCCATAGAAGACGAGAGGGTCTTCTTTCCATAGAAGACAAGAGGGTCTTCTTTCCATAGAAGACGAGAGGGTCTTCTTTCCATAGAAGACCAGAGGGTCTTCTTTCCATAGAAGACGCGATGGTCTTCTCATAGAAGACCCGATGGTCTTCTCATAGAAGACCCAAAGGTCTTCTCATAGAAGACCCAAAGGTCTTCTCATAGAAGACCCGAAGGTCTTCTCATAGAAGACCCGAAGGTCTTCTCATAGAAGACCCGAAGGTCTTCTCATGGAAGACCCGAAGGTCTTCTCATGGAAGACCCAAAGGTCTTCTCATGGAAAACCCGAAGGTCTTCTCATGGAAGACCCAAAGGTCTTCTCATGGAAGACCCAAAGGTCTTCTCATAGAAGACCCGAAGGTCTTCTCATAGAATACCCAAAGGTCTTTTCATAGAAGTCCCGAAGGTTTTCTCGTAGAAGGCCCAAAAGTCTTTTCGAAAAAGTGTCTTCGCTAATCCGAAACCAATGCCTCTGCCTTCCCAGCATCGTCATTAGAATCCAATATTAACTCCAGTCATGTCATAGAACATTAAACTTTTCAAACGTCATAATAAGCTGCGAACCAAAGTCCAAACAGCAACCAGCAAGTATCCACCAGCAAGCAAGGGGTAAAACCAAAATGTCTGATTAAACAATAAAGACGTGACTTAATTTGAAGTTAAGTAAAGAGTTGGCAAATGCTTTTGTCGGAGAAGTAGTTTTTTTCTCGTTTTTTTGTTTCCTTCCAAGTTATTAAATGGAGAAACTCCAGAAGAAAGTTTTTGATGGACACAATTTCGTGGAAGATACTATGTGACAATATTTGCCATGATGAAACGATTTTAATTAAAAATGGCAAGGGGTAAGTGGAGGGAATTAAAAGATTTAAGTCCGGGATAGAATAGGGGATAGCGAACATAATAAGATAACAAGTACTTCGCAGTCCATACAACAGATTCGTCGACTGGAGGTTAATTCCCCCATTCTCTTGGTAAATGATTTATCCATTGATTTCAGAAATTTTAGTAAAATTTGGGGGATTTTTTACAGGTAAAGCCAGTGTTCAGCTGTTGCCCTTATTGACAATTCTAATTGTAGCTGATTACAATTGTTTTCTAAGTGTGCCCAACTTCAGCCAATTTTGTGTATTTATTTATTGTTTTGAAAAATGACAAAAAAATATATATTTTCGCAACTAATGATTGGAAGACACATGAATTGCGGCTCGCGAATTAAAGCTATTAACCAGTATAGCCATGAAATTGAAAGATTGAAAAGTTAGGATCATATTTTGAGAGAAAAATCCAGACATTTTATTCATTTTTTCGCTCTATTTACTCATTTTAAAAATGAGGAAAAATTAGAAAAAAAATTAAACAAAAATAATTTTGAATGAGTCTGACAGGAAGCAGCTGTAGGGCTGTATTTTTGTAGTTTTACGAAGCGGTTCTACCTCCTTATTGTACCATGCCTTTGCTCGACTTTTAGCTTTCATGCGCGCCTAAAAATATGCTACGATTGCCAAGTGGTGAGATCAATCATAAAGTATGAGCTTAGACAAATTAGGTATAGACTAAAACAAAGACCTAAAACTATAAAAATAGGACAAAAAGGCATTTTCCAATAAATTGCCAATTTTTAGTTGTAGGTGGCATTAAAATCGACTTGGAAAAAAATACATTTCTGAAAACTCTCTCCGTAAAAATATGGCTCCTAACATTGAGTGAAATGTTGTTTTTTTTTCGAAAAAAAATGTGACCACTCTTTTTGAAAATAAAATGCTTAAATTGAAAAAATCAAATGCAGACATTAAAGACTAATTATTTAAACGGGGACGCCGTCAGTTCTAGTATATTACAAAGCGGCCGATAGAAATACCAAATATTTGATTTAGTGGATTTAGTAGTCGACACTAGGGATAGGTACCCTCTAGGAAATGGAAATAGTAAAATTGTAGTAATTTTATACTGACATTGTCGTTAGTACTACTGACTAAGTGTAGCCAACTTAATGTAATCTTCTATTGACAATTAACATTAGCGTGTCATTGAAAATCCACCAGTAGACAGAAGTTCTACTGACTAGGTATTAACTTTGACGCCATATGGCGACATTGACACCAAAGACTTCTTAGCAGATTGAGTCTACAATATTATTGCGAATTGTAGTAGATTACCAACGACATTGTATTCAAATTGAAAAGAAAATTCGTTATGAATTCATATGATTTATTTAATATCATTAATAATTCAATATACATATATATATATATATAGGGTATATTAACTTTGTCATTCCGTTTGTAACTCCTCGAAATACTCATATCAGACCCGTCTGTCTGTTGTAATCACGCTATCTTTCGAATGAATTGAGATAGGTGGCTAAAATTTTGCACACATGTTTATTTTTCCAGTAGGCAGGTTAAGTTCGTAAATGGGCCATGAAGGTCCACGTTTTCATATAGCCCCCATATAACGGTACCTCCCTATATTCAGTATTTTGATGATTTTAGCGACATTATTCACGGGAATTGTTTCAAATTTGGTATTTGAAGTTCAAAATGAATACTACACCCTAAGACGGAAAATTATCCGTGCAGGTCCACGTCTTGGTATAGCCCCCATATAACGGTACCTCCCGATATTCGGTATTTTGATGATTTAAGCGACATTATTCACCGGAATTGTTTTAAAATTGGTATTTGAAGTTCGTTATGGGAACTACAGTCTGTGGCAGAAAATTGTCTGTGCGGGTCTAGGTCTTCGTATAGCCCCCATATAACGGTACCTCCCTATATTCGGTATTTTGATGATTTTAGCTACATTATTCACCGTTTATTTCAAGTTTCGAATTTGAATATGGTAGTGGCTTATGACAAACAATGCCTATGTATGTCCACGTCGTATAGACCCCAAAATAACGGCTATTATTAAAATTTTAACAGAATTTTTTAAGGATTTTATTTTTTGAAAATTTTCAAATTCGTTGCAAATGGTGGTGGTTATTAAAAGTTCGGCCCGGCCGAACTTACTGCTTTTTAACTTGTTGACGTTGAAAAGCTGTTCTTAGAGCCTTGTCTGAACACTTGTCGTACATTGATATTACATCTAAGTATTGAAACAAAAAGATTATATTTAATTATTCGTATTTTTGAAAGGTTTTTTGGATTTGTACCTATTATTGCTGCATGGACTTTTCCATATTTAGATAAACTTTTTTTGCCAAAAGTTCCATCCACATTGTAATTCATTATAATAGATTTCCCAAATATAAGGTGTAGATTGCGTGCGACGTTGCCACCAATGAGATTTTTCATTTGGCGAATCTGCAAGAATAATTATAAATGTTATTAATTAATTATACATTGTGTTTCCTGAATACAAAAAAGCTTACGTATGAGTCTGACTGAGTGGCTAATAAGTCTTCTAATTGCTTTAGACTTTCGTCCGTGTTTATTGGGAAGATGGCCATAATGTTTTGCACAATCGAGTTATCGGAACCAATTCGATCTAGCAAAATTTTATGCTCGCCCAAAATCTGCAGTATCGTGTCCATTTTTTTCCTATATCTTCACAGGAAGTACACTTTGAAGTTGCTGGAAAAATATATAATGTTGTAATGAATACTATTTAGGTAATGCGAATTAGTTATATTAAAACTTACCTTCTGAAGAATAATATTTCATTTTTCCTTTGAACGGTATTGCTCTTTCGTCAGACATTGTTGTGTAGAGCGGGTGAACAAAATTAATATTTATGTTTATTTTATTAATATTTTTTTTATTTGTAATCACTTTAAATACCTTATTCGCACAATAACTTCAACAATATTTTTCGCACAATGCACAATTTTAAGGAACACGTGTGTTGTTCACAAAAGAAACTAATGAAATGAGAAGCAAAGCAAACATCAAAAAATGTGTATCTATTAACATCAAAGTCTAACGGTAAAAAACTGTTGACGCGATCGTTGACAATGTTGCCACAAATACACTACAGATAAAGTCTACAACGTTTACATACTCCCGCAATAAAGGGAAGTTGTTGACATTTTATCTAGTAGCATTTTTGCTATAAAATAGGTGGTGACATAGAGATACATGGTTCTCTGCTTGACTACAGGGTAATGAAAAGCAATAATCGTCTTTCCAAGTATTCGAGTTTGTTCTAATGCAAGCCACGCTCTATACAATTGTGTACGAAGTTGTGTCTCGGTTGTATGAAAAATCAAAATTTTTTGATTTTTGACATGTTGTACCAACCGATTGTAACGTTTGTGGGCATGTCGCATAGACAATTCATTTTATTTATATTTTCGAAGAGACAACACCATTGTTGAGCTGATATAAACAACACGAAAATAGAATAATGAGCTCAAATGTGCACTTTTAATTAATGTTATAGTATGAATATTAATATATGTAAGAATGGCTGATGCCTTTTAGTTATATATTTATTTAAAAAGATCAAATTGAATGAAGTATTTATACATTAATAAAATAGAATGATGATTGAAGTTTTATGGAAGTACAGAAGAATAAATGACGGCTGCTGCTTTGGCTTTTCACACGGCTGATGAACGACTTAAACTTCACGACGGCTGTTTGGGAGGAGAATGAAAATACTCTGTGTTGAGATCATTTCCAAATCTCACTCCTGAGAAATAAAACACAACCGCTCGTTTGGGTTGCTGGTTTAAATCTGATTTTATTTTCAAAAATATTGTTCTTAACTGCTACAAAAACTGATCTAACTTAACCTATTCGCAGCCACACAATTGTCCTTATCTATTTTTAGATTTACAATGAACCATTGCGTAGCTGTTTGTCCCTTCATTCAAGTGGTCTTGGCTACCTACTGGCGCATCGATATTTGTGTGTGTGTGTCATGGACTTTATTATTTACACATTACCATATGCGACAGCGCACAAGATCACTGAATTGTACACATGTGATATTTTATGACTGCTGGGAAACTGATAATGTTGAAATATTTCTTTTTAATTGTTAGATTTTCCCAGCACCTCAAACGCACACAAAAGGATGTACAAAGTATTTTGTACATTCTCCCGGGCGGGTTAAATATGTATACTTTTAGTTTAAATTTTAATATCTGATTTTAACAAAGATATGCAAAATATGAAAATTAAAGACATAAACTATTTGTTGTAAAGGGACAGTAAATTAATTATAAATAATATACGCCTTCTGCTAGGTAACCGCTTCGAGGTAACGGCTAAACTTCTTAATCCAGCTTCGCCCCATCTTTATTAACCGTCTGTTGTTGCGACTGAATTTCTTGGCAGCTAGACATTTTGAAAAGTCCTTTGAAAAATGTTGTTGTTGATCGATGATTACATTTCTTGTAGATTTTGTTGCTTTTTGTTGTTGTTTACAATTGTTTATTAATGTAGTTGTTGAGTTTTGTGGTTGGTGAGTTGATTAACTGCTATTACCACACTCGATGTTGATGTTGTTAAAGTTGTATAGTTTTTGATTGTTGATTTTTGTTGTTTGAATGCATCCCGAAGTCTGCATAGATGTTTTGTTTGTATCCGCCGCTTTTGAGGGAAACGAATTTTTTAGATTGAAAAGAAAGAACACCGCTTCGTTCGGGTGTAGATTCAATTTTTGTAGCGAGAAAAGATATAACACCGCTTCGTTCGGGTGTATAATCAATTCTTGCAGCGAGAAGGATAGAACACCGCTTCGTTCGGGTGTAGAATCCATTCTCTATCCGGCTCGAAGGACCAAATGTACAAGTGAGAAGGGAAACCAAACACTCTGTGTTGAGATCAGTTCCAAATCTCACTCCTGAGAAATAAAACACAACCGCTCGTTTGGGTTGCTGGTTTAAATCTGATTTTATTTTCAAAAATATTGTTCTTAACTGCTACAAAAACTGATCTAACTTAACCTATTCGCAGCCACACAATTGTCCTTATCTATTTTTAGATTTACAATGAACCATTGCGTAGCTGTTTGTCCCTTCATTCAAGTGGTCTTGGCTACCTACTGGCGCATCGATATTTGTGTGTGTGTGTCATGGACTTTATTATTTACACATTACCATATGCGACAGCGCACAAGATCACTGAATTGTACACATGTGATATTTTATGACTGCTGGGAAACTGATAATGTTGAAATATTTCTTTTTAATTGTTAGATTTTCCCAGCACCTCAAACGCACACAAAAGGATGTACAAAGTATTTTGTACAACGGCTGATGACAGTTTAGTGTCAATTAAATGGACAGGGATGCCATGTAGACTCGATGTGAAAATTGGCACTTTACATATATAATAAATTATGCAAATTATTATATAATATATTACAAAAAATTAAAAAAATAATAAAAAGCATGAAATTTTTTTCGATGTCATGTTAACTCAAAATAAACTGCCTGTAAAATTAAGATGTACACAAAGTTGTATCTTGAATTCATGGCTAGGCTATTTTATGACATTTCATAAAGGGATTTCAGAGCCGCACTAAAATCCGGTCGTCGTTTTCCATTATAATTTGACATTAACATGTCTAGCTATTACATCATGCTATTTATGTACTTGCACCTGTAAAGTAGAATAGAGTCCAATCTCCCTCTTCGATTGTCAACTCTATTATGTTTTTGGTGAGAAAAGAAACGCGACCGAAGGGTTTGGTTGTTGATTCAATTCTGATTTTATTTTTAAAATATGTTCCTTACGTACTACTGAAACTAATCTAACTTAACCTAATCGCAGCCACACAATTATTCATATCTATTCTAATACTGAATGGAGAACATTGCAGGGCTGCTTGACATTTCATTCAAGTAGTCTTGTGCATCTACGGAGCGCATTGATATCTGTGCGTGTGGGTCATAGCCTTTATTATCTCACACATTATCGTATGCGTCAGCGCACAAGATCACCGAATTGTTCACTGTGGTGTTTTATGGCGGCTGGGAAATATGTAATTTTAGAATATTTATTGATTATTGCTAGATTTTCCTAGCGCCTCAACCGCACTCAAACGTATGTACAAAGTATTTTGTACAGACACCTTGGTTGAACAGGAATTAAAAAAAACAGTGAGTAAAGTAAGTCGAAGAATCGACTATGAATAGTCGAGTACTCGGTTTGCACCTGAGTCTATAGTAGAGTTCGAATTTCATAACTTTGAGTACTAAAGTCGAGTAGTCGGAAGTCGACTTACCTATCACTAGTCAACACATGCAACATGTGTTGTTACATTATTTGTTTAGTCATTAAAGAAATCAACATTCTTTTTGGGGAGCAACATCCTATTCATTGGTAGTTCTCGAATAAATTTTGTCAGGGAATTGTGTATTACCTACGAAGGCCCTTGTATACAACATCCACCGAAATTCCACCAATTCTTGGTCAGCATATGATTCTATGTCGATCTAGTCATGAACGTCTGTAGAAATCACGCTAGTTTCCGAGCATAATGTATGTTTGTCAAATTTATTTTAGGTCCGTAGAATGAACATATGGAAAGTGTGAAAAATAAAATAGTGCAGCCAGAATTAAGACATTTTTGGATCTTCATCGCAATTGTCAAGCTGATTTGCGGTAAATCGCTAGTAAACATAAAGCATAGCTGCAAAGAACTTTCGAACCGTATCGCCGACATTCGGGGTTTGATTGATTTTATCCAGATTTCCCAGCAGAATTATCTCAAAATCAGTATTAGTAATTCTACATATACTCTGACAATTGTCTAATTTTCTTATGTTTAACATTTTTAATATAAACCTGTTTTGTACCATTAATAGCCTGTTCACAGAATTTTTGTGTAAGACAGACAAACAATTGCTTCCCAGGCAATCAAGTTTTTATTGCAATTCATTTTCTTTTTTTCGTCTGGGAATAAAAACTCTTTACCTATTCCCCTTCTGTCAAAAATTTATGTTTCCAAAGAGAAACTTTGTTTATTAAAAAAATACATAATCCCCTCGCTTTGTATTTTGTTATAAACCCGATAATAATGTTGGGAGTGTGTCCGCTTCCAAAACGGACACAAACCCCTTGGGCAGTATGGCGCTTGCTGTGTGGACTACTTACAAAAATAATTAATTTTAAAAAATCTTAATTTTAGAAATCTGGAAATAATCTCTGTAATTGCAATGGGGTTATGACGGTGGGGATAATGTTCGGGCGCCAGCTTTGGATATTTAATATTAAATAAAAGTGTAAACGGGGATGGCGGAAATATCAACGTAATTCGCCAAAGATGGCACAAACTTCGAAATGATGTTCCTAGACCCACGATTTTACATATGGATTTACCTATCTCGCCCAGCTGGTCGATTTAGACATGTGTATCCGTCTGTCCATTTTTATTTATAATTACGCTACAGGTCACAATTATGACGCAAACTTTACGAAATTTTGCGTTGTGTCAGGACCAACAAGATATTTTTCTGATTTTGTAGTCTTCCAGGCAATAATGGGGGCCTAATTTTGCCTGGGGTTAGAGTTTAGAACAGCAAAGAAGCGCACCTGTTTTGATCGACACAGTACAGCGGATGAAAGGGATCATACCTTTTGCGTGAAATATCCATTTTCAAACACAATATTTTACTTTGTGTTAATTTTGTGAATGAACGATTGATATTTTTTGATTGCCTACTTTGGCATTTCGCATTTTGCTTGTGTTGGAGTTTGGTGCACCAAAATTTGCCAGTAGAAAAAGGTCCCCTTTTTTTCTTATACCAAATATCAAAAATTCCATTTGTCTGTCATTTGCCTTGCAGGCTATAAGTCTGTCACAATTTAAACGCGCAATCAGAACTGGTGAAATTTTGTGTAATTGTAAAGAGACGCAAGGAGTGTTGAATATGGGACATTGCTATTTATACATCATTCTGGGAATCGTTTGATAGTCATAACACAGTATAGATATTTCCCGCGGTTTTAAAACATTACTTTCAATATTAATAATCCAGCAAACATTTTCACCAACATTTTTTTTTACATTTTCTTAGATAAACCAAAAGGAATTTATTAGAGGTACTTCGACAAATCGCGGATCGATGGATGTGCATTGCTACTAAATTCAGACAAAAGATGATAACGTGATGAAATGTTTTCCATGGAATGCAAAACCCTGTCGTATCTAACATTCACATGCTGGCGTGCATTATAAAATCACTACATATAAATTTATATTAAAAAAAAACCAAGTAAGCAATTCATTATATTAATTATATTGGCATTTCTCTTCAAAATTTTATTCAGCAACAAATTGTAAAATTAACTGAAAAGAAAAAATTAAATAAAAAGAAATAAAATTGGAAAAAAGAAACACGAGTAAAATGTGTATTTTTTTGTGTGGTAATCAGGAAAAAAGTTTCGGCTTTCCGAACAACGAGGAAGAAGAGGATGTGTGGTGCAAAATTTTAAATATTGATGTTACATCAATTCGGGCCGGATCCCGTCTATGTCAAAGGCATTTCGATGAGTCATGCATTGGTTCAAAAAAATTAATCAAATATGCAAGACCTAGTAAGTAAAACTTTCAATTTATGAAAATGAAAATAAAAATTTATAAGTTTGTTTGTCCCGCAATCAGTCAAAAACCGTAGCCTCTTCAGCTACAGAGGCGGAACTATATATTTCCGGTTTAAACGATTCATTTCATTTTGAAGCAAACTTCCAGACCTCATTTTTAATGAGGCTACGGCCTGGCTGGGGCGCACTATAGCTCTCGGACAAAGTAACCGATTCAGTCCTAACTTTGCATATCCTAATAATTTTGTTAAACTTTGATCAAGTTCAAAGATGGATAATATTTGTCCACTTCTCCCACAAGAAACACCAACTGAACTTTGTTATTAGTTTTCTAATGTAATTTGTTAGGTTAGGTTAGGTTAAAGGACGCGCAGCTGCATTTAGCAACTGCTCCACTCGGAGACCTATAGGTCCATTGAGTTCATCCTAGGAAAGAGTTAGAGCGAAAGATAGAGAAAGTATAAGAATTGACAGTAGGAAATAGATAGTACGTAGTCTACGGCTGAGTTTGCCGTGTCGTCTTTAGCCACTTGAACCTTCTGGCTAATTGAAGGATCACTGCAGGGTCCGTGGTAGAAAAAGAGGACAAATCACGTGACACTAGTTCTCCCACTATTTTATGTCTCACGTTAATGAGCGCTGGGCAGTGGCAGAGCAAGTGTTCGATTGTCTCAATTTCTTCTTCATCTTGACAGATCCTGCAGTAATCAATATCATCGCTGTCCCATTTTGAGGTCATAGCCCTCACCTTACAGTGACCTGTGATGATGCCCACCACAAGTTTTAAATCTGGTTTAGACAATGACATCAGCGATCTTGTTCTCTTCTCTGAGAGCACAGGCCAGATTCTTTTGGAGATGGTACATCCCGTTTCATCCAGCCATTTTTGTTGTGTCTTTTCATGGTAGTGTTTGTGAACGATCTGTAGGAAGTGGCACAGTGGTGGTTTGACCGAATTATCTATTTCTATCGTAGTTGATTCGGATCCTAGCCTGGCCAATTCATCTGCAGTTTCGTTACCTGTGATATTGTAATGGCCGGGAACCCAACAAAGCTTGATTGACAACCTAGAGTGTTCCAAGGCTTCCCTGCAGCTTAAAACAGCCCTAGACTTGATAGTAAAGGAATTTAGTGCTTTCAGTGCCGCCTGACTATCGACATATATAGTCACCGGACTTCCGACCTCTATGTTCCTCGTGACTAGCAGGTCTGTGGCCTTTTTGACCGCCAGGATTTCTGCCTGAAAAACGCTACAGTTGTTTCTGAGCTTGTAGGATTCACGGATATTAAGGGTGTCACAGAAGACACCTGCTCCCGTACCGCATTCCATCTTTGAGCCGTCGGTATATACAGATATGCCGCGGAAAGGTGGGCTGTTTTGGGACCAGGCTTCTCTGTCAGGTATGTGTATTTCAGGTGGGCAGAAGCTTAATCGTGGTGAAATATAATCACTTGCATAGGCTATCTCTCCCACAGTCCTTACACGCCTTAGAATCGTAGAGTGACCAAATGGTTGGCTACGCCATTCACCTAATTCCCTGAGCCGAAGAGCACACCTGAATGCCAGTTCCTCTACATGTATGGCCAGCGGGCTTAAACCCAGTAGAGTATCTAGCGCAGCTTGAGGCGTGCTCCTAAAGGCACCCGTTATTAGTAAGGATGCGGCTCTTTGGACTTTGTTAATGTTGCGTGAGTAAGTTGGCTTCTTTAGAGAATGCCACCATACTAGAGATCCATAGGTTAGAATGGGGCGAACGATTGACTCATACAACCATTTTATGATGTATGGTTTGAGGCCCCAGCTTTTACCTATGGAGTTCTTGCAAGAATAGAGTGCGATAAAACCTCTTTTGGCTCGTTCCTCAATATTCCTCTTCCAACTTAATTGTCGGTCAAGGATTGTACCAAGGTATTTGGCCTCTGGTGAGAGGTTTAGAGTGACTCCATCTAGTCTTGGTAGTGTAAATAACGGATATTTACGCTTCTTAGTGAAAAGTACGAGCTCTGTCTTTGCTGGGTTCACGCCTAGCCCGTTGTGACGCGCCCACCGTGATAGAGTGACTAGAGCTCCTTGCATTAGGTCCGAGATTGTTTGCGGGAATTTCCCGGCAATTAGTAGGACGACATCATCAGCGTATGCGACTACTTTCGTCCCTGTTACCTCTAGATCTATAAGTATGTTGTTAATAACCATAAGCCAGAGTAACGGTGATAGGACGCCCCCTTGTGGCGTGCCCCTAGTGACCGATTTCCTGACAGATGTTTCCCCAATGCTCGAGTTGATGATTCTGCTGCTAAGCATGTTATCAACCCAGTCTATGAGGAGTTGTGGCAAATTAAGTTTTGATAGTGACTCATGAATGGATTCCAACGTGACGTTGTTGAAAGCTCCCTCAATGTCGAGGAAGGCAGCCAATGTGAATAAGGAGCCATTCATGTTCTTCTCTATGTACCCTACGACATCATGTTGCGCTGTCTCAACAGATTTGCCTTTCATATAGGCATGTTGAGCAGTGCTGATTGCGGTTTGGGGTATTAGAGATCTGATCTCTATGTCTATCAGCCTTTCCAAGGTTTTCAATAGGAAGGATGAGAGACTTATCGGTCTATAGTCCTTGGGAAGTGAGTGACTCGGTTTCCCCGCTTTGGGGATGTAAGTGACTGTGACTTCCCTCCATGATTCCGGGATGTAGGATAGACGCAGACAAGCTTTGAAGATCTCACTCAGTACTGGTGATATTACCGCTGAGACACTTTGGAGCATAGCAGGAATAACACCATCTGGTCCTGGAGATTTAAAAGGTTTGAATGTATCTATGGCCCACTTGATTTTGGGTAAACTTACTATTCTGTCAGCCAAGTCTTGGTCCCTAGTTGTATGATCATGATGTACTTGATCGGTTTGCCGATTGCTTGTCGCGTCAATACAGCCGGGGAAATGCGTGTTGGCTAGCAGGTTAAGAGTCTCTAGTCCAGAGTCAGTCCATGTGCCGTCAGTCCGTTTTATACTTCCGATGGATTTAGGGTCCTTCGAAAGGACTTTACGAAATCTGGAGGCTTCGTTGACACTTTCAATCGACTCAGTAAAGCATACCCAAGATGAGCGCTTGGCCTTCTTGATCTCACTGTTGTACTTGTTGAAGGATGCTTTGTAGGCATCCCAGTCCGTACTATGTTTGGTCTTGTTGGCCCTATTGTACAGTCGTCTACTATCCCTCCTTAAATTGGCTAAATGTTTTGACCACCAAACAGGTTGACATTTCTTTCCCGGGTGGGTTAGTGGACAGACTTTTTCATAACACCCAATTAAGGCACTAGTTATCGCATTTACGGAGTTGTCTATATCGAGGGTTGAGATTAAGACCATGTTGTCGAAACGGTGAAGCCAGGGTATAGCCAGCTCCGTAAATTTGTCCCAATTTGCCTTTCTTGGGTTTCTATGAGGTTTTTGATGAATACCCTCCACCAGTATTTTGAAATTTATCTTTCGATGGTCTGAGAATGAGCATTCGAGAGAAACTTTCCAATCTAGTATGAGAGATTCATCCTTGTTAGTAAGGGTGAGATCAATGACCTCAGCCCTGTCTTTGACTAGAAATGTTGCATCGTTGCCCCTATTACATATTTTAAGGTTATATTTCAAAATAAAATCAAAAATCGACTCACCTCTGACGTTAGTATTCGTACTGCCCCATTGGAAGTGGTGTGCGTTGGCATCACAACCTATAATTATGTGCCCGTTGTTGACCAGATCGTCGAGCAGCTCCTCTACCTCGTGGCCGGGTGGGTCAGGTCGCTCATACGGTAGGTAGAGAGAAATGAAAAAGAGAACCCTCCCGGATTTGCATTCCATTCTCGCTACCGTGACGTCTCCTCCACTGTAGTTGCTAAGGAAGATAAGATTTAAATTCTTTTTGGCAACAATACACGTCCTTACCTTATCACCATTGGAGACCGCGTAAGTGACATACTGCCCACTCCCTAACCCAGTTACCCTATTGTTATATATATAGGGTTCCTGGATTAGGGCTATGTCAACTTCAGATCTCGTGAGGGATAGGAGGAGTTCAGCAGCAGCTGCTTTGCAGTGATGCAGATTAATCTGCATGATATTGAGTAGCTGCTGCTTCCTTCCTCCTAATGCGTTAGCCGGAAGCGGATCCACCCGGCGCCGAAGTGCAATTTTCCCCCACGAGCTTGAAGATACTCCTGGCCATCCTTATCCATGGATACTTTGATGACCAGGCCCCCTCCCTCAGTGGTAGAACTGACAAGACGCCAGCTGTCTGTTTTGAGGTTGGGGTTTTGCTTGCCTAGTATTGTCAGGATGCGTGCCGGATCCACAGATGGTGGTGGCACCCATGCTGTCAATACTCTACGGCAGGGGATGTCCTTTAAGGATACAGCCGCCAGATCGCATCCTTGCCATAGGTCACGGAAGCCAGATACTGCGGTGACTAGGTAATCCTTAGATTCTTGGTTTTCGCAGCACATGACTTTCGCGCCTCTGTAAAGGGTGGCGCTGCCAAACTGCATCCTTCGTGGGTCACCCTCTCCCGTAAAGACAAGCTCCCTCAGTCGATCTTCGAATAGCAGCCATCGACTATCGCTGATTTTACCTTCCGGTTCAGCCCTGTCAATGATTGCTACTCGGAGATTATCCGGGTAGATCGTCTGGGAGTACTTCCTCTTTCGTCCTGTTTGGCCTGCCGTTTGTGACTTGGCCTCTCCTTTGTGGGCCTTATCAGGCTTGGAGCTTGAAGGGCCTGTTGGGGGTGGTTTGGTCACAAGCGACTTGCTGACAGACGAAGTGGAAGTTGTAGGTAAAGGCCGAGAAGCCGGGGCCTTAGATACCTTCTTGGCCTCAGGGTGTGGTTCCTCCGTAGACCGGCCCCTCTTCAACGCCGAGCGTGAAGGGGTGTCGGCCTCCGTTGGAACTGCCGAGGTTGCAGCTATCACAGGTTCCGGCTTCTTGACCTTCCTGTCCCTGCATTTTGGGGTAGATGACCCAGCAGGTCCAGCATTAGGTGTCACCGAGTGGACAACAGCCGGAGTGGCCTTGCTGTCGGTGGTGGACTTGCTGACCTCTGCAGGGTTCTCAACAGTGGGTTGAACTATGGAAGAGTTTGCCCTACTGTTGATGTTAGGTGGTGGGAGAGTTAGGAGTATCTGATTAAGAGAACAACTTGGTAAGTGCGGGTGGTTCTTTTCAAACTTAGCAATTACCTTGAGGTTCATCTTGATCAGAATCCTCTCTCTCTCCGTTATGTGCGCGGGGTCTCGGCCAATAAATTTTTTGCAATAATTTATTGACCTTTTATAACCCCGCCTTGCTTTCGCCTCCTTCGGTTCGACACCATCGTGAGAGGTAGGGTTACTGGTAGATTTCCTGCCAGTACCTACAAGGATGGTATCTTGCCGATCGAGGCTTTTAACATCGGAGGTTACCGACGATGAACCCACCTGGATTTGGGACTCCACGCAAGTCTCGTTAGGAGTGTTCTTAGCGGTCTTTTGTGATGACTCACCACTTTGAGACGAGGAAATGACCGTTATGTCAAGTTCCTCATCAGAGAGTGGTGAGTCGTTACTAAAGCCCGAAGGAACACTTTCCTGGCTGAGTCTTAACGTTTTCGTCTTTTCCAGGAGGGCAGACAACTGTTCATTTTGTTGCTGAATACTGTCGTGGATTACGTCACTGTAATTCAGTATTGGGTCGTCCCCTCCCGAGTTGGTATTCATGTCCTGTGGCCGGTCCTTGGTCGTTGCTTCCTTGGAAGCAATGGTGTCGTTGGTGGTTGTTGGGGGTTTGTTTTGTTTTTTTATTGTTTTTTTATCTTTCTCCATATGAAAAGTCGGACTTGGAGGAAACGAGGTCCACCATGGCATAGCCTCCCTACCATGGCAAGGACTTGGCAACTAAGCCTGTTACTCACTGAGGCGCCCAGGTATCAGTGAGGCAACCGTACGAATACAGTCGGAACCCTGACTGCAAACCTTGGAACACTGATGGGCACGGTTTACATAACACCCCAGCGTTAGGGGGTCTTATTTATCGGTAGACCAACACCGATCACTGGGTATTTTGAGGCGCCAGTTGTTCGCCTCGTCGTAACCAGGGATCATGGGCACTCGGATATTTGTTCCGAGACTCTCCCCCCGGAGACCGCTGAGTTGTCCGCGACTGCTTATTTATTCGCAGCTGCCCAATATATCTATTGGGCGTCCCACTATCCGCAACCTGTGGACGCGTCCGGTAGCATCCAGCTATGCTTCCGATGATCGGCTTCCGATGATCGGCCGGATGTAATTTGTTAAATGAATGTGATCGACAATCATAGAGCCGAATGTGCTTAGAGCGTGGTACTATTGTACGATTTTAAGGGGCTATGTATAGTACAAATAAAGAACTCCCAAAATATAAACATTTGATTTATAAATATTATTATTTTTTATTTAGTTCTTAATTTACAAAAACATTTGATATATTAGTTGCTCGACCAACAGAAGATTCCTTATATATATAAAATATATTGAAGCTAAACGTGGCTATGAACCTGGCTTTGATTTTGAATCAGATGATGTTGGACCTTTGCATTTTCTTGGAGCGAATAATACTAAGTCCCCTATTGCATACGTTCCTGAATGCCCGATTGATCCTAATATTCTCGAATCAGAAGTCATAATTGAAGAGGATTGTACTGAAGCAATAAAATGCCCCGTTTCATTGAATGTAAATGTTTGCCAAAAAACTTACAAAGTGGCGAAGGCGATATCTCCTTTGATTTCAATGTAAGAATATTTAAAACAATGATATTACATTAGCCAATCTAATACTATAGAATAATGGAAACCAATAACAATATGGCGCAGCAAATTAATTTTATACTTAACTTAGCTTACTGTTAATTTTAGAAAACATTCCGGCACAAATTCTAAGGATGAAAGACTCACATTTGCAACATGTATTTGCGAATGCTACAATGAGTTGAATACCTTGAAGGAAGAAATTAAAAAACTTAGAATTAACGAATCATTATTAAATAAGGAGAAGGAAGATTTAAAGATTGCAGTAGATATATATAATCGCAATGAAAAACGGTATTAACAAAATATTGAAGTCTTGATTAAGGACCGAAATGCACTATCTTGTGAAATAGCAAAACTCAAAGATTAGTTATGTAATTTCACAA